TTGTCTATTCGCACGCGTGTTTAAATTTGTACTTTAGTGTGACCAAAACATACATATTCACGCGTTTGTACATCAGCCACCAGTCGCCTAACATTAACACTAGTAATGAAAATTTTTAGGTTGGTGGCAGTAATCCACGGCTTGTTTGCATAGGGTTTTTGGAAAAATGTGGCTTAGTTGGATGAGTTATGAAAACAGAAAATTAATTTAATGACAAAGGTTATTATATGTCGGCGAGATTGACATCCCTGATGAGAAATAGTGTCTAAATAAATATAGTAATTAAATATAGCAATCTATACAAATTACACAAATGTAAGATCCATCGCTATATAAATAACTATATGTACAAATCTGAAATTTCAATTTGGACTTGGCTGGGTCTAACTTATGAATTTGGAAATAACTACGTATTTAAGTATGTACAAGTTGGGTCTAAAGAGTAGTGAGGCTTTAGTTATAAACAATTTCAATTTGTTTTTATTATCAAAACAGCAATTGTTCATCTTTTTTTGTAACACTCATTTATCGTCATTTATCGTATTAAAAAATTTTTTTCATGTTTGTGCATTTGAAATATCACATCGAGGTCTTCTTTTGGATATCCATGTATCGCAATAGATGTCAAATCAACGGCCAGAATGACCAACATTAATGATAAAGTTATTGTATTTTTGATATATATTAAAGTTCTATTGTAAAAGTTAACTACGTAGCACCGTTGTGTGTTATATTCATATCTGATATTACTGATACCCCTCACGCTCTTCTTGGGAACATTCTCTTTGATACGTCTTTCGTATCGATTTAATTTATTCTCCTTTTTTTCGCGTTCAAAGCTTCTCTGTTGCATTTTTGCAACTGTTCCTAGACCGTTGTTTCGTTCGGCCAGGAAGCTGGTAGTGCCTCTTGGTGACATTCTCGTATACTTTGTCATCTTAATCTCTCACGATGGCCTCTCACTCTCTAGAAGTTTATGGAAAAGGGACGGCTGTGTGGTTTCCTGACAATAGGGAAGGCTGGATGAGTGCTCAATTGGTTACGAAAGATGTGAATGGTGATAATGTAAAGCTGACCTTTGTAACCGATGAGGGGAAGGTAGCTTATCAAATCATCTATCACCTGCGCGTTTTTGCTTTTTGACTCATTTGGGCATAATGAGCCTGTTTCATATATTTTTTTCGGTGTAAACTTTTTGGCAACCTTTGAAATATTTGCGATTTGATTGTTGTAACATAAAATCTCTTTATCATATAAACTAATAAGTAATATCTCCTCAATGTTAGGAAATTGTTATCACGACAACCTTAACTAAACTTGCTCAAACAAATAATGCGGAATTGCCTCCTTTGCGTAATCCTCCCATGCTTGAGGCGGTCGATGACTTGACAAGCTTGAGTTATCTTAATGAACCAGCAGGTTGTAATAAATTCATAACGAAAATAGTTATAATCTTTTTTTCTTTGATTTCCTTATACCGTTTCTAATCATATATAGTGTTGGGTGGCTAATTTTTTACTGCTATTCATTGCTATATAAGATACCTGATCGGTTAAGGATGAACAACAGAAAATTATTTTTCTAACAAATATGAACTATTATTATAACAGTTCTCCACACAATTAAAACGCGTTATTTACAACATAATATATACACTTACTCCGGCATAGTCTTGATTGCCATGAATCCATTTCAGAAAGTTAATTTATATTCTCAAGATATTATTAATGCGTATTCTGGAAAACGGCGTGGTGAATTAGAGCCACATGTGTTTGCTATTGCTGAAGAATCTTATCGGTGCATGATTCGTGATGAAAAAAATCAGACAATTGTTGTATCAGGAGAAAGGTTATTTACAAATCTAAAATTTTTACACATCTCTTCGTAATACCATATAAACATTTTATTGAATTATTGTTTATTTTATCTAGTGGTGCTGGAAAAACTGTTAATGCAAGATTTATCATGCGATACTTTGCTTCGGTTGATGATAAAGAAAAACCACAAGGTGATAAGAAACCAAATAGTTCATCTGGTATGAGTGAAGTTGAAGTACAACTTATGGGTACGTGTTTCTTACTATTTTATTTAGATTTTAATATGTTTGCTATAAATCTATTCATTATTCTAACAAGACATATAATATGTTACTAGCTACTAATCCTATCATGGAATCTTTTGGTAACGCCAAAACAACCAGAAATGACAACAGTTCTCGTTTTGGTAAATACCTTGAGGTATGTATCTTGATCCGTTATTGTGAATTTTTTGACTTTAACCGAAATTATCTCAATGTAATTGGATGCTCCATGTCAAATTTATAGATTCAATTCGACAATCGCCAAAATATTATTGGTGCAAGGATTAGAACTTATTTATTAGAACGTTCAAGATTAGTTTATCAGCCCGAGAGTGAAAGAAATTACCATATTTTTTACCAGGTATCTCTTTTAAATTTATGATTCTGGTGTTATTTATTCGTTTTTGAGTCATAAAGTTCATTTATATTTTAACATTTTTACTGCTTTATAGTTATGCACCGGTGCGCCTCCATCTGAAAAGAAAAATCTTGAACTCGGGGATTACAGTCAATTTCATTATTTACGTCAAGGTGGTGTTGGTACTATAAATGGTGTTGATGATGCGCAAGAATTTAAGATTACGCAAGAAGCTTTATCCACAATAGGTGTTACAATTGAAGTACAATGGCAAATTTTCAAATTATGTGCTGCGTTATTGCACGTTGGTAATATTCAAATCACTGCAAGCCGGACTAGTGCCATGGTGTCTGAATCAGATCCAGCTTTAATTACCGCGACGAGATTGCTTGGTATAAAATTGGAAGAATTTAGAAAATGGATAGTAAAAAAACAAATCGTTACTCGATCTGAAAAAATTGTTACCGATTTGAATGCACAGCAAGCTTGTGTTGTTAGGGATTCTGTTGCAAAATATATTTATGCAAATCTGTTTGATTGGTTGGTGAACGTAATTAACGGGTGTTTATCCAATGAAGAAATCGAACAACATATCAAAAGCTTTATCGGAGTTCTTGATATTTATGGGTTTGAACATTTCAAGAAGAATTCATTTGAACAATTTTGCATTAATTATGCTAATGAGAAATTACAACAACAGGTATGTTTGAGTTATGAAATTTGTATACCTTTTATTTAATAATTGTTTTCTAATTTCTTTCAATTAACCTTTTTTTTAAAGTTCAATCAACACGTCTTTAAATTAGAGCAAGAGGTAGGAAAATTAAATATATAAATATTATTTTATTATGTTTAGTCACTAACGTTTCTTCAATATTTAGGAATATATGCGAGAGAAGATTAATTGGACATTTATTAATTTCAGTGATAATCAACCTTGCATTGAATTGATTGAAGGCAAAATAGGAATTCTTTCTCTTTTAGATGAGGTATGGTTTTGTTTGTATTTCTGTTCTTTTAAAATTGCAATACATTATAAAATTTCCGGTAAGCAACCATTAACATATATTTATTTATATAAAATATTAAAATATGTTAAATAGGAAAGTCGTTTACCAGCTGGTACCGATGCCTCTTGGTGTCAAAAACTTTATAAAAATTTCGACACTCCTCAGTATAAACAATATTTCCAAAAACCTCGATTCTCTAATACTGGATTTATAATTTCTCATTACGCGCATGGCGTTACTTATGAATCAGAAAATTTCTTGGAAAAGAACAGAGATACAGTACCAGATGAACATTTAGTATTACTGAAGAGCACTGATTTTGAATTTTTAGATGATGTTTTGAACAAAGGTGTCCCAAAAAGTTCACCTACCACAGGCAAAGTGCGTAAGAAACTCTCATTGTTAATATTTTCATTAATGTAATATCACATATTAACTAAGTATGTTACCTTCTACCCTTTCAGCCTGATGGAAAACGAACAAGCATAATCTCGAAGAAGCCCACCTTAGGTTCAATTTTCAAGGCAAGCTTAATTCATATTGAACTGAAGCTTTATTCGAACTTAATTATGAACAAGAATTAACAATTCGTACTATTCACGTTTATATGTCTAATATAGAGTTCTTTAATCAGTCTCATGGAGACTATTAATTCAACCGACGTTTCTTATATTCGATGTATTAAGCCCAATGAAGCCAAAGTCGCATGGAGATTTGAGCCTCAAATGATCCTCAGTCAATTGCGTGCATGTGGTGTTCTTGAAACAATTAGAATTAGTTGTGCAGGTTATCCCTCTCGATGGACTTTTGATGAATTCGTTCAAAGGTAATGAATATAATGCTACTACACGTGTATTAATGGTTTTTTTTTTTTTAAAAAAAATAATCAAATCTAGTGATATTCATAAAGTAATTATAAAATATATGCTTACAATTTTAGATATTACATGTTGGTTCGTTCATCGCAATGGGGACGTGACCCTAAAAAATTTTGTTCAATTATTTTGGATGCTTCAATTAAAGAACCGGACAGATATCAAGTTGGAAATACAAAGATCTTTTTCCGTGCTGGAATGGTAAGTTTTTTTGGCAAAACCAACTCTACAGTAGTTTTCAAATTGTACCAGGAGGGGAGGGGGGGCTAACACTGCTGCTGAATGTATATAGCAAAATTATTAATTATTTATTGTTTATTTTTTAAAGCTTGCTTATTTAGAGAAACTTCGACTTGACAGACTAAATGAATGTGTGACATTAATGCAAAAAAATATGCTTAGACATATGCACCAAAAGAGGTACCAACAATTAAAAACAGTAACTATCAAAGCTCAAGCCTTAATTAGGAAACGTAAAGCCATGCGGGATCTTAAGCTTCTTCGTGAAGATAGAGCTGCAGTTATGATTCAAAAAACTTGGAGACGATACATCCAACAGAAACGCTATTTGCGTTCTAAGAAGGCAATATACAAATTACAGCTTTGTAAGAATTTTCACATTGATTCTCATGATTTATGCTTAAATTATTTATTCATTTTATAATTGTGTGTACTTCAAATTAGGTGCTCGCGGATTTATTGCAAGGCGCAAGTTCAAGGATCTCCAAAGAGATGCTGCAGCAACAAAAATTCAAGCTACATATCGTGGATGGTATGTATTTATTATGCTAATTACATTCGAACGATGTTAATTCTTTATGATAACGTTTTTATGTTTGTATGTATAGGGTTGTGCGTTGTGAATATAGAAAGACTATTAGACTTATTGTTTTTATTCAATCCTGTATTCGGAGACGTCTTGCAAGGAAAGAGCTTAAGAAAATGCGAATTGAAGCCCGTTCTGCTTCTCATTACAAGGAAGTCTCATATAAACTTGAAAACAAAGTCGTTGAGCTCACCCGAAGTTTGGAACAAAAGAGTCAAGAAAATAAGGCACTCGAACTTAGAACTGCTACATTAGAAGGAAATGTACGAACTTGGATGGAGAAATATAAGGAATTGGAAGCAAATGCAAACAATTTCAAAACTGTAACCAAAGAAGCTACTGTTGCTATCGATGAATATAAATCTTTACAAATCCAAAAGGAAGCCCTCGAAAATAATTATCAGATTCAAGTTGAAAAGATCAAAAGCAAAGATAGTGAAATTCAACGGCTAACAAGTGAAGTTAATAAAAAAGATGAAGAAGTTACCAGACTCCGTGATGCTATGAAAAATAAAAGTGAAGATCCTGCTACAGTACTTAAATTGAAACAAGAAATTGCTACTTTAAGAGAACAATTGGCTAAAGTTAAAAGTGGTGTCAATAATGCAGCACCTCCATCTTCGCATCGTCCAACAGAAAATGGGTTCTTGACATCAGCAGGCACCACAACGCTTAAACCTCCATCTCAAAAACGAAGACCTCGTCGACATAGTTCAGCCGAATCATGGGGTCCCAATGAAGTTACTAAACGCAAACCTAAAACTTCTATTGACCTAATCATGGCAGAGAAACCAGGTTTAAGGCCTGCATCAATTTCAACTACTCATGTGAGTATTCCAAAAATCAAGACACCAGGAGGACGTATAATTGGAGGTGAAGAACCTGAAGAACAGGTAATTTAAATTTTTATGCTATTAAATTTAATTCAAACATTGCACTATACAAAAGAATGATCAATTATAAATTTCTCACAATAGATTATGAAGCTTCTTGAAGATGATGAAGCGCTTGATGATGAAATTATCAATAGGTTAATCAGATCCTTAAAGATACCTC